AAAAATATTTTATTAGCGAAATTGGGTACCCAGTTCCATACATTTATCTTTTTTTACACACAATTTTTTTAAGCAATCTAAAGGCCCGTGTGTGGAACATACTAATGAAATTAAAAATATACAACATGTGAAAAAAATTGAATGACAAGACAGTATTTTTTCAGCTAAAGGTCCTTCTACTCCTTAAAAGTGACAATTTAATTTAAGAACCATATCTGGAAATAGGGCAATTTTCAGGCAGTTCTGCAAAATCGGGAGAAAGCATGACCTGCAGTGTCATAAAATATAATCAGATTTAGGGTCGAAAAATTGGGTGTAACCTGATGAAAATGGGTGAGTTTCTCACAATTTCAGGGAAAATTATTGGTTTATGGGGAATTTAATTTTGTAAACTGACCAGTGAGAGACCCAAGGGACTTAACTCTTAACCCCTAAATGCCACGATTTGATGCACTGGCCCTATCCTTAAGGTGTTTGCCTGGCTGCCCCTTAGACCATTTCAGATGAACTAGAGTGCATTTTTAAAATGAACTAATAGGGGATCAAATTATTTCATTAATGCAATGTATTATATATTGTATGATTTGTAATAAATTATATTTTTCAAATCTATTAATAATCATAATAATCATAATTTTGATCGAAATTTTCTGTAAATAAATAATTCAGGTGAAAGTAGGTATAAATCGCAAAACAAATATTTTCAAAATGTAAAATGGCTTTAATAAGCCGAAATTGTCTGTATAAATAATAAAAACAAGAGGCCCATGGGCCACATCGCTCAACTGAGAAGCTTTGACCATTCCATTCTTCACCAGATTTCCCCTTGTAATACATATTGTGACCCCACCCTACCCAACTGATCATAATTTAAACAATTTGAAATCTACACTACCATAGGATGCTTTGATTCAACATTGTAAAACTTTGATTCCCCATTGTGGCCCCGCCCTACCCCAGGGGTCATGATTAGAACAATTTAGAATCTACACTACCCCAGGATGTTTCCACATAGGTTTCAACTTTTCTGGCCCAGTGGTTCTTGAGTAGAAGATTTTCAAAGATTTTTTTCCTACATATTACTATGTAAAACTTTGATTCTCCATTATGGCCCCGCCCAACCCCCTCGCGGTCATGATTTGAATAATTTAGAATATACACTACCCCAGGATGTTTCCACATAGGTTTCAACTTTTCTGGCCCAGTGGTTCTTGAGTAGAAGATTTTCAAAGATTTTTCCCATATATTTCTATATAAAACTTTGATTCCCCATTGTGGCCCCACCCACCCCCAGGGGGTAATGACTTTTAACAATTTAGAATCTAGACTACCCCAGGATGCTTCCACATTAGTTTCAGCTTTTCTGCCCCAGTGGTTCTTGAGAAGAAGATTTTGAAAGATTTTTCTCATATATTTCTATGTAAAAATTTTGATTCTCCATTGTGGCCCCACCCTAACCCCGGGGGTCATGATTTGAATAATTTAGAATATACACTACCCCAGGATGTTTCCACATAGGTTTCAGCTTTTCTGACCCATTGGTTCTTGAGAAGAAGATTTTTAAAGATTTTTCCTATATATTTCTATGTAAAACATTGATTCCCCATTGTGGCCCCGCCCTACCCCTGGGGGTCATGATTTTAACAATTTAGAATCTACACTACCCATGGATGCTTCCACATAAGTTTCAGCTTTTCTGGCCCAGTGGTTCTTGAGAAGAAGATTTTTAAAGATTTTTCTCATATATTTCTATGTAAAAATTTGATTCCCCATTGTGGCCCCGCCCTATCCCCGGGGGTCATGATTTCAACAATTTAGAATCTACACTACCCAAGGATTCTTCCACATAAGTTTCAGCTTTTCTGGCCCAGTGGTTCTTGAGAAGAAGATTTTTAAAGATTTTTCCTATATATTTCTATGTAAAACTTTGATTCCCCATTGTGGCCCCGCCCTATCCCCGGGGGTCATGATTTCAACAATTTAGAATCTACACTACCCAAGGATGCTTCCACATAAGTTTCAGCTTTTCTGGCCCAGTGGTTCTTGAGAAGAAGATTTTTAAAGATTTTTCCTATATATTTCTATGTAAAAATTTGATTCCCCATTGTGGCCCCGCTCTATCCCCGGGGGTCATAATTTTAACAATTTAGAATATACACTACCCCAGGATGCTTCCACATAACTTTCAGCTTTTCTGGCCCAGTGGTTCTTGAGAAGAGGATTTTTTAATGACCCCACCCTTTTTTTGTCGCTTCTTGATTATCTCCCCTTGTGAGGGGACTTGGCCCTTCATTTTAACAATTTAAATTTCCTTTCACTCAAGGATGCTTTGTACCAAGTGTGGTCAAAGTTGGCCCAGTGGTTCTTGAGAAGAAGTCAAAAATGTGAAAAGTTTACAGACGGACAGACAGACGGACGGACGGACGACGGACAAAATGTGATCAGAAAAGCTCACTTGAGCCTTCGGCTCAGGTAAGCTAATTATGTGTGATGATGAAATTATTATCAATCTTTATAAGTTTGATTCCTCAGAAATCAATAAATTGTAGTGCAACTTCAATGTCAATCTTGCCCACTAATTTTCAGATTTGTCTGAAAAAATTGATTTCTGAACGTTTTTGTGTACTTGAAATATCAAATTCTATTAAAATAATTATTTTCTACACCTTCACATTGACAAATATTTGTAAAATGGAAGGTATCTTCTGGATTTCTGAGAAACAGGGACCAAAATCGGTACTGCGCGGTCCCAAACTTTACAAAATTTTCGTATCTTATTTTAAAGTTTATCTAACATATAGATCATTAAAATTTTCTAAACTTTTAAGAAATGGTTAGTTTATAGATTGAATTTACTGTATAAGGAAATATAATTGCGTATCGAATGAGTTTTATGCTAAAAAAAAAAACATTGTATGTACTAGTCCGCCATTTTGAATTTTGGTGGGACTTTCTGAGATTCTTTTGTTTGTTTACACAGGTAAATCACATGATTTCTAATTGTAGTATGATGCAGTCATCTATTGTCAACCTGCAGGTGGCCATCTGTGCTCTGATAACTTGTAAACAAGCGGTAATTTCAAGTCAAATAAACAATGAAATACATGTGCGTCAAAAGTCGCCATTAAGGGTTGGGGGCTAGGCATCAAAAGTCATCATTAAAGGGTAAAGGATGGAAAGGTCTAAGGGGAATAGAGTTAAAGGTCATTTCAGTAAAAATTAATATAACACTGTAATGGATCCACTGAAGTTTAAAATAAAACAAGACCCCCATGGGTAACATCCCTCATCTGAGTAACTTTGGCCATTCTCTTCTTTACCAGATTTCCCCTCTTGTAAGTATTATTTAGAGAACTCGACAGGTTCTGTATCGTAGATACAAATTTGGGGGCAGACGAGTGCCAAAGCACGAGTCTCCGCCCCCAAATTTGTATCTACGATACAGAACCTGTCGAGTTCTCTAAATGATTTGTGACACGATCAATCAAAAATAGCTCCGCCCACTTTATAACTTTGCAGCATCCAAACTTCCGCCAGAGTTCTGTAGATGAGGCCCCGACGGGGAGTACGCATCTGCAGTATATATATTTCCACGGAAAACGTAAAATTCGGTCAGATTTGTTTTGACAATTTAACGGGATAGACGTAATCGAGTGATAGTCAGTCTTAATGGATAAATTGGAGGATTTAACCGTAATTGTTGTGATCTATTGTTATAATTGTAGATGGAGATTTATCATAATTTATTTCAGGGGTCTTAAAATCCCGGTTTAACTAGATTTACAAAAACAGGATTTACAGAAAATTCTTCGATGCACTTTGATGTCAGGGATTTTTATTTTCAAATTGAATTGCGACATTAAAAACGAAGTGAAAGAGACGTGTGGCTGTCGTCAGCGAGAAGGATTTTTTCCGTGATAGCGAATTTTCCGTTTCGTGTGGATTGTTCAAAATTAGGTACAGAGGATGTTTTCCGTTATTGCGATTTTTTTTTACTTTCGTCGAAACTACGTGTAGATTCTGTGTGGAATAAGTTTTTAGAAAGTGATTGAGAAATTTTAACATTCTACATTCTCAGGAAAATACCGGGTATTTCTTAAAAATTAATAATAGGAAAACATCAGTATTTAATATGTGTACGTGCTAGCTTTGCTAAATTGAATCAGATTTATTTTTAGACCGTGCTGTATTTTAGATACAGAATAGTTGGCAAATACAATACTGTATACAAGGCTAATGCAGAACGGAAAGTAGCTCCGCCCACCACAGTCCCGTTCTGTATTGCTAATACAGAACAGTAAACTTCAAAGAAAAACACCGCTATCGTGTCACAATACCTAATGTGACCCAACCTTATCCCGAAGGGTCATGATTTGAACAATTTAAAATCTACATTGCCCCAGAATACTTCTACTTAAGTTTCACTTTTCTTAGCCTGTGATTTTCATGAGAAGAAGATTTTGTAAGTTTTTCCTATATATTTCTATGCAAAACTTGGGTTCCCTATCGTGGTCCCGCCCTACCCCCGGGGGTCATGATTTGAACAAACTTGAGTCTACACTACCTGAGGATACTTCCATACTTTCCTGGCCCAATGGTTCTTAAGAAGATTTTTAAATGATGCCAATAATTTTTCATAATTATCTCCCCTTGGAAGAAGTCTTGGCCCTTTATTTGAACAAACTTGAATCCCTTTCACCCAAGGATACTTTGTTGCAAGTTTGGTTGAAATTAGACCAGTGGTTCTTGAGAAGACGATAAAAATGTGGAAAGTTAACAACGGCAATGACAGAGAACGGACAAATTTTGATCAAAAAGCTCACTTGAGCCTTCGGCTCAGGTGAGCTAAAAATTAATTCCCCATTTTGCCATTTCAAATTTTTTTTTTTATATTATTGACTATGAAACCATAACAAAATAGGGATATCTCGAAGGCACATGAAAGAAGATTTTGATGTGGCATTCCTCCTTATTTCATACAAAATTCTGCATGTGCTTACTTCTTGAGAGTATTCTGGTCTAGAGATTCCTTTCCATATAACCTCCTGTCCTGGGATTTCAAGGTCATATGTGGAGGGAGATTTACCTGAAATATTGTGGTCTGAAGTTTGCGTACTTGTACTGGCACCATTTAAGTGCTAAAAAAGAGAAGAAAAATATATGTATTCATATTATAATGGCTCCATTTATATGCACTAGGAAATGACTCTGATCAAAAAGCCCCAATACATCTGACATAGGAAAGTGAAAGATTTAAATGTACCAAATAAGGAAGGTGACCTGCAAAGTTCACTCTTATACTGTATATCAGTTTTTTTTCACACATATTCAATTTCTGCTAAGTTAATAATTGAAAAGATAGATTTGTAAAGGAAAAAATTCATAAGGGTGTAACAAATTTCATAGAGTGCTCAATGTCCAAATCACGTCTGTTCTTTATATAATTATAATTCATTCTTCAGCTATTATAATCATAAAATTATAAATTAAATTTTGTTATACCTTCAAGCATCTGTTCCTACACAATTCTACACAAAAAAGTGTTTTACTTAGTGGTTATTAAAAAAATCAATGTTTAAGGAAAGGATTGCAAGGGTCCGCGAAAAAATTTCGCCCAATGAATTTTTCTCATTTTTAAATATAATGTGCCTTATGTCAATGATACCATTATATCAAACTATCAACCATGGTCATTGGGGTTATAAGGAAATTATGGTTGCCATGGTAACCACCATTTTTTAATTTTTTGATATTTATGAGGTGAATGTTTTATTATCCCATATATGCAACAAAATAATGAATTAAATAATTTCCTGCAGAAATTTAATAATAAGCTTTATATTTATTGAAAATAAAAATTGTTTCGGAAACTATTGATAGATGTAGTAATGCCATTGTTTTTTGGGGAAGTACTGTATACAGGGAAATTTTCGCCCCCGTTTTATTTTCGCCCCTTTCACCCTCTTCTTGATTGGGTGAATTTAAAACAGTGCGAATTCAAATTACACATCATAATTTCTTAAACAAAACTATGATTGGGCGAATTTAAAACGGGGCAAAATAGTTAGTAAGTGCAAAAGGACGAAAATAACACGGGGCGAAAATAACCCTGTATACAGTATTAATTGTAAATTTGCAGTAATATTTTAACCCCAAAAGCAGTTTTTAACATCTTAGACAAAAAATTACCCAATTAATTTTCCCAAAATTAATATGTGCTGTACAAGTCATTATAAGTGACTTATAGTTAAAATATGAAGTAGGGTAATCAGATTCATTTTGAAGTTACACGCATTTCAGTACACCCCCCCTTCCTAGAATTAAAAGATTTCACAGGTTTTCGTATGATGGTTTGTTGTTGGACTTTATATATACATAATCTGTTTAAAGACAATGAAGGCCACATGTATAGATAAATAAATATTTTTTCTCTGAAAATCTTGCAGATGATGCTCATTTTATACGTGAAGCATAATGATTTACTTATCACCAATTGTGGTCACGAAAATAACTTTCTTTTTTTTCAAACTCAGTTTCTCATCTCCAAAACATTCATTTTGTTACTATAATATCAGTATAAATACATAATATTTTCTAAACCATTGCACAGTCCTGAAAGGCTTAATCCTTCATGCTTTGAACACTCAGTGATGTATCTTCTTAGTGACCTGAATCGGAAGGGGGGGGGGGGGGGTTAAGGGGGAGTCAGACATTTGAACACATTGAATGAAAAGAAGTTATTTCACAGAACTTGTATCTGCATTATATTTTTTGAAATAAATATCTTTATCCATGAATAATCTTATTTGGCATATTATAGTAATTAATTTTAAATATTAACATTTACAAATATCAAATATTTTCCTTCCGATTCTTTGCAAGTGAAAGAACACTTCATTTTCTCCTGTACACAGATGAGCACTTTCTCCATTGTGAGGTCATAATGACACACTTGACGTCAAAACTACAGATTTATAAACTCTCTAATTTGACATGCAATTTTCTGTTATCGAAATTCTCCTTGACCAGTGCTTGATAATTATACCCTTGGGAGAGGTAGATTATCTCTTATAAAATAACATTTGTTATGGATTAATGTAAGTATATAATGAAAAAAATATTATTTTCTTAAGTAAACATTTTTTTTTAAATAGGGATACAGCAACACTCTTACAGTTTTGGGGATTGTGTAATTCAATAGTAAAAGACATCTTTTTAAAAAAATTAACTTAAATTAAGGGGGGACCTATGTCGTTCTACGTCAAAGCAGCGTTATGTGACGTCACAATAGCGACGTTTGTTTTTACCTGTTGACTTTTGCAACTGTGATATAGGCATAATATTACTAATAATGAGTAACATACACAATTTACAAAAAGAAAATTTATTCATCATTTTAATTTGATTTATGGAGTTTGTTAATATTAGACTTCTCTTCAATGGTTGATTATCCATAGCAATTTCAGTTGTGAAGAAATACCTCGATAATATTCTGATATATAAGTGCAAAAAGATATTATAAAATTCAGCAAAGAAATCGGCTTAAATCAGGGAAATATGTTTAATTTTATGTTTACCATTATATTTACCATTAATTGCATTTTCTGGATAAAACTAAGAAAAAAATTAAGAAATCTACTTGTACCTATATTTGCTTATTGATTCATAGTACATGTAGATTCTATTGTACAAAGTCATTCCTAGGTTCTTGGTTGTTGACGTGGAAATGGGGGGGGGGGGGAGCAGAATGATTGGAATGAAGAAGAAAAGAATTAACATGTTCATATTGTTTCTAATCAAAACAAAATACTCGTTTTTCGCAAAATAGTTTTATATTCAGATGTTTGTCAGTGCTTACTTACCTTTTTTTAGTGCTGAAAGGTCAATATTTATGACACAACAGTACGAAAATAAAAGAAAACGTCATATTTCTCGTTTATTTTACCATAAAGGTATACTTTTTTCTTTGTTAAAATAAAGAGATGGATCATTTCTTTCAAAAAATATGAATAACAACATTTTCACACAAACTTTTTGATATATTACCTGTTTTTCATGTCAGATTGTAAAAAATATGACAAGAAAAACGGGGTGATACTTACATTACGCTCTATTATAATTTTTCCTGTGAGATGAATTATAATGAATTTGCCTTTATTTTAAAAATACAAGTCATATAAATTCAATACCTGTTAATTTTGAATGTGTTTTGTCATTTTTGGTTCTTTTTTAGCGCATATTTGGGGTAAAACAATAGTGTCTGAAAATGATCTATTTTTAGCATTTCACCCTGTTTTTGCACGCGCTCCTGTGTAAAAATAAGCATATAAAGGTATTGTTTTTAATACCTAAAAATTAAAAGCAAGTGGTCAGGAAAGAAATGTCAAAATTTTGAAAAATTTCACACAAAGACTTTTTGGACATAGGTCCCCCCTTAAAGGTCACAGTGACCTTGAAATAGGTTGTGACATGTGTACACCTTCTACCCAAGATGCATAAATTGGCCAAGTTTGATGATTGTAAGTCTAATAGTTTTCTAGTTATGAGCCAAACAAAACCACAAAATAAAAAAGAAAAATGCCTGTAAAATGCATAAAAATCATCCAATCATGCTGAAAATACCAGGTGCATACCTTCATATGGTGAATAATAAGTGTACAAATTTTCAGACAAATCCTTCCAATAGTTTCTGAGAAACGGTCCGGACAAAGTCTTGTCTACAGACGGACGGACAGACAGTCGGACATGCTGATTCCAATATACCTCCCTAAACTTTGTTTGCGGGGGTATAATGAATTTCTAATTTTAAAATGAGGACATAAACCTCAATATATAAAATTTATTTTTAATGAAATAGATTTCAATGTTCAAAGATACACAATAGCTAGACATGTCAAATCATAAAACACATTAACGTAGATAAAAATATGGTCAACGCTTAACACTCTCAGTTTATCGTAACAACCTTTAATATTTTATTCTTTCTCTACTTTAGAAAAACAAAACCCTTTAAAATTGTCATGAGTGCACACATATCACGCTCCTTATTCCAGAAATAGTTACAGCAAACATTCTTTTTTTATTTACCAAATGACGTGATCGTGTGACACCATGCAATCGCGTACTTAACTGCTGATGGAGTGAGATGTTAGACCTGTCGATAAGATGTTAAACCATTTACATCACACAATGGATGGGGTATTTGAAGCTAAATCTCATTTGCATTTGTTGGTGTGGAATTTAACTGTGCTGATTAAGAAATTAATGGGGGAAAGCACAAACTGCATGCAAGTCAAAAAATTTTTAATTAAAAAAATATTTAACATTCATATAAGGCCATAATAAATAAATTGCAAGATTCTCATCATAATTTTTTTTTTAATTTGAGGCGGGCGGGCGGGTTTTATTTTATATTTTTTATTTTTTCAATTTTGCAGATTTTTTATTCACCTGGTCAATCGGTGTAATTTTATCTACAATACCCAAATAAAGGAGGCTGAGGAGCTTCACTCATTGTTCATTCACCATAGAAAAGAATCAAATATATAACACTTAATATCTTTAAATATACAGACTTTTACAAGATAAGCTTCGTTTTTGTTTCTAGAAATATTTTTATCTACAAAAATAATATATTTTCATGTTGTTAAACTAGTAAATCGATGACCTAGCATCGTTTTAGATAACTCAAGCCCCTCTAGGCCTTGATTAAAAATCAAGGCGGGGGTATAAAATCGGAGCGGGCGGGGATGAGAATCTAGGAATAATTTTATTATGGCCTTATAGTATATTAAAAAGAAGCATCTTAATGTGGAACAAAAACACACAATAAACATAAACTTAAAAGAACAAGGTTCACTTTTGCTTTATTTGGCCTTGTGAATTTCTGAAAAACTGAAACTGCATAGTTTTAGTTACAATGCATTAGATATCACTTAGATCTTTGGCGACAACGTATCTATTAAAATGACGTCATTTTCTGGCAAGTCAATGCATTATGACGTCACGAAATGCGCCAATTTCAACATATTCTGAAAAAGACTACAAAAACAGCCAATTTTTAAAGCTATTTCTTGATAATTGACATAGAGCGCAACCTCTGATCTAAAATATACAACTAATAAATGATAGAACTGTT